AGGTCCTGTCGACCCTGGAGTTGGGGACCTTGAGGCTGGAGGTGCCGGTTCTAGGGGTGCTGCTACTGGTGGCGCTGGCGCTGGAGGTTCTGCTGCTGCTGGAGGTGCTAGAGCTGGAGGTACTGCTGCTGGAGTCCCTGGAGCTGGAGGTGGTGCTACTGGAGGCGCTGGAGCTGGAGGTTCTGGAGCTACTGGAGGCGTTGGAGTTGAAGGTTCTGGAGCTGCTGGAGGCGCTGGAGCTGTAGGTGCTGCTGTTGGAGTCACTAGAACTGGAGGTGCTGCTGCTGGAGGCCCTGGAGCTACTGGTACTGGTAGCACTGCACCGTCGCGACTGTTTTTTGCTCCGCCATCACCGTCGTCTCTGCCACCGCCTAACTCCGTGCTTTGCCAGGTTCTTAGCCTCTCGTCTTCTACTGGCCTCTCGTTATAGCCCGGCGCACCACTGCCTGCTTCTTCTCCTTACACTGAGCAGACAGACTCGCTTACATAGCGTCGTGAGCCTACGTCTCGTCGTGCCTCGCCTGTTCGCGCGCGTCGCACTGGTCGTCGTGTTCCTTGTGAGATTACGCCTCCTGTCCTTAGCACGCACGCTATGGCACTTCGTCCTTCCTCTGTCCCACAGCGTATTCCCCTATTGCCTCCTCATGCGCCTTCTCCGACATGCGCCTTCTCTGCCTAACGTTTAGGACCCTGAGTCTGACCTGGTTCGTACTGCTCACCCTACTGTCACGCGTCTGCTCGCCACTGTTGTCACTGGCCCGTCGTTTGAGTCTGCTGCTGCGTTTGCCTTAGTCTCTAAGCTTGTTGACTTTGCTGCTGCCTATCGTCTCAACTACGCTGCTAGTCTTGTTGCTAAGTCGGACTCTGTCTGTCCTCCGTCTGTCGGGGGTGAGTGTGCTCTTAGCACGGACGTCCTTGAGGACAGGCAAGAGGACTTTGAGTGTCTAGCAGCCGCTGAGCCTCATCACGTCTCCATGCAGCTTGCCCCTGTGGGAGACCCGGATGCACTAGACATCCCGACTCTGCGTTCTCACGCTGAGGCGATCGCGGGTCCCTACTCCTCTTAGTGGCAGAGAGCCATGGAGATAGAGATGGCATCCTAGAAGTCCACAGGCACTTACGTCGATGAGGTTCCCCCTCCTCGTGCGAACATCATCGATGGCATGTGGATTTCTAGGGTGAAGCGGCCGCCGGGTTCTCCGCCTTTCTTCAAGGCTCGTTACGTTGCACGAGGCTTCAGTCAGCGACGGGGAGTTGACTTCTTCCATACCTTCTCCCCCACCCCGAAGATGACCACTCTTCGGGTGCTGTTGCACGTTGCCGCTCAGCGTGACTACGAGCTTCACTCTGTGGACTTTAACACAACTGTGAGGATCTAGGATCGAGTTCAGAAAAGAGAGTTTCAATTCAATGATTCACCTGGGTACAACACGAGGCTATATATAGGCTCGACACAAGGCAGGTTACCCAGGTGTTGAGCGAATGTTCTGAGGGTCGCGAAGCGCCTCGAACAGAACCTTCCCGAACTCAGTAGAAAGCAATTCGGTGGAAACCGAATGGGCTTGAGTTTGGTACACGTAACCTGGTTTGGTGCTATAACTAAAATAAAATATAGGAATGCACCTAACCTAGGAAATCAAGCATATCTATGCATGATAAATAAACCCCAAGCTAAATATAGCATAATATAGTCTAGGCAAGCTAGCAAAGCCACCATAAGCCATCGTACTCTCACAACAGCATTCTTGCAGGGCAGCCTATACGAGGAGATCTGGCTGCGCCACCCACCTGGCTTCACTAGGTCGTTCCCTCCTGGTACCCAGTGGAGCCTCCATCGCCCAGTCTACGGTCTCCGTCAGGCGCCTCGTGAGTGGCACGACACACTGAGGACGACACTTGCAGCTCTTGGGGTTTGCCCCTTCCACTGCTGACCCGTCGCTGTTTCTACGCACCGACACTTCACTGCCGCCGTTCTACATCTTGTGTACGTCGACGACTTGGTCTTTGCCACTGCTGACACTGAGGCTCTCACCCTTGTGAAGTCGGAGCTGCAAAAGAGACACACCTGCATTGACTTGGGTGAGTTGCGCAGTTACCTTGGCTTGGAGATTACCCGGGACAGAGCACACCGCACCATCACCCTGACTTAGTCACACATGGTGCAGCAGGTCCTTCAGCGCTTCAGTTTCACTTGGTCCTCGCCATAGTCCACTCCTCTGGCTACAGGTCACACGCTCTCAGCTCCACCTTCGGACGAGTCCGTGAAGCCGAGTGGCCCGTACCCAGAGCTAGAGGGCTGCCTCATGTACCTGATGACCTCCACTCGTCCTGACCTTGCGTACCCTCTTGGTCTTCTTGCACGCTACATGGCTCGTGGTAGGCACCGAAAGGTGCACATGGATGCTGCGAAGAGGGTAATGCGCTACTTGTGCAGTACATCGGGCATGGGGCTCGTGCTTGGAGGGCGGAGCTCAGTTGTCCTCACTGGACACTCTCACGATTCTTGGGTTGACGACCTTGCTACGCAGCAGTCGTCATAGGGTTACACTTTCAGCCTTGGCTGCGGCTCTGTTTCTTGGCAGTCTACCCGCTCGTCTTCTGTTCTCAGCTCCAGTTGTGAGGCTGAGATCTACGCCACAGCCATGGCTGCACCAGAGTTACGCTAGCTCACCTACTTGCTGACCGACTTGGGAGAGAGACCTCGTTCTCCTCCGGTTCTGTACGTAGGCAACAAGGCCGCCATTGCCTTGTGTCAGGAGCACAGACTGGAGCACAGAACGAAGCACATCGCTCTGCGTTACTTCCTAGCTCGAGAGTTGCAGCAGCGTGGTCAGCTTTGTCTTGCTCACGTGGCCACTCGGGCCAACACTGTTGATATATTCACCAAGGCACTTCCATCTGGTGATCATCAGCGCTTCTATACTATGTTTGGCCTTGTGCCTATTTTGTTTCACTTGCTCACTACGTGATTTTGCTTGTACTATGATCTATATATATATATACCAGCATGCTTGCTCTTGCTAGGTTGTGATCACTGTACTGTTGTTGTTGCATATATGCCTCTGCATGTGAACTGGCCTTGTGGCCCTTTGCTTGTGCTCGAGTGTGTGGTGACGTTGTGATCCACCTCGAGCTTGCTTTGCTTTTTGTGACTGTTCTTGTGATCCCTTGTTCTCCCCCACTTTACCTATGGGGGTGTGTCAAACTATATATGCGTTAGTTATGTGTAGGCTATAGTGGGGAAGCCTGTATGGGGTACAACCCGAAGTTATAGTTAGTACTTGTACCCACATTTCATTCAATGCATTTATTCCTGCTTACTATCTTATCAGTAGTTGCACAACACCCCTCACTTAGGCTATGGGGGTGTGTCAAATGTTGTAGCCTGTAGTGAGGCATGTCATGTAGGGAACGGTTGTTAGTTAGGATTAGGTACATGTACCCCAACTCAGAGTAATGCATCACTCGTTCCGTTTCTGAAATCCCCAGAATATCTCATATGGGGTGGACAGGTCGTCCCCTCAAGCTGGTTTTATTGCTTGTGTGTGCTGGATTCATCGGTGTATACTTTCATTGAACAAGAATGTTCAATGCAAACTACGGTAGATTCCTTATAATCTGAAATGAATTTTTTTGAAAGTGTGTAACCAGGCCCTACGAAGTCAGACTTTTTTCTCTGATTTGCACAAAAAACTCTGATATTTCAGACTTTTTTTCCAGTGTACTCTGTTAAAATCAGACTTTTTTGGGCCCAAACTCTGTAATTTTCAGACTTTTTTTAAGGCTAACTCTGAGAGTTCAGAGTTTTCTGAGAGTGTACTCTGATCATTCAGAGTACAAACGCGTCCTTGACTGGTGATTTGGACTTACGGGTCACAACAGATTCGCAATGTCGACGCAAAATCGCCTTGACACAACAAATCCGAGCCTTACAGCACAAGATTTTCGCCCAATCATAGCAAAATCGCCCTGACACAACAGATTTGCGCTGTCAGAGCACAACACTTTTCGACCAATCACAGAAAACTCGCCCTGACATTGCAGATTCGCTCTTTTGCACCACAAGATTCGCCCTGACACATATATTCGCCCTGTCAGAGCATGTTTTATCGGAAATCCCCTTAGTGTTGTGTGTTTCGGTAGCAGATGAATGAAACATTGATTACATTCCGATGAAACATTGAATACATTGTTTTTGAATTATCAGACTTTTTTTTTTAGGACACTCTGAAATTTCAGCCATTTTTTATACCAACTCTGAGATTTTCAGACTAAAATTGTGTACTAGTCTGACGAATCAGACAGGCCAAAAACGAATCTGAGTGCCTGTGTGTAACACTTTCCAACCCTCCAGCTTACTATTCGCCGAGTACATAACGAGGGTTGGAGGCCTTTTGGCTTCCACCCACGTCTTCATTTCGGAACTTTGCAGTTCCATCCCCCACCCACCCACCCTAGTCATATGCTTGTAAAATCTATAATTAGGTTGGACGAGAATGATGTAATTACTGCAACTGTAATGAAGCACGTTGCCTTTGCAAGAACAGAAAGCGAGCTTTCTCAATCCTAAATAAGCATAAAACGCTTGAAAGTGCCCAACAAACCCCTATCATCCTAACTTGTACTTTCAGCACACCGGTTAGTTCCAGTGGCATGCAGCCCACTACACTTCCTCAAAGTCCTTTGAAAACTCACAGTACTTCTCCTCCTTGCTTGCCCTTGACCTTCCCTGCCCTGCCCTCCACCCCCATCCCCCCTGCTCACCCCCCCCGTTTTTCCACCTCCCAAACCTCCCCCACTTGTCATCCCCCACACCCCCCTCTACACCCTGCCCACGTCCTTGCTCCTTGCCATACATGCCGCTATTCCCACTGCCCACCCCGCTGCCATCCAGCACGCTGCTCTCATCCTCCCACATCTGTGTTGATGGCTCACGCGATCCGAACCGAAACACTGACCATGGCCCTCCCGGGCCACCTGCCCCCGAACCAGACCCCTGCTCACCGTCTCCCGAGCCTGGGAAACCCGTTGGTTTGCTCATGCCGAACCTGGTGAGAACCTCCGAGGCTAGCTGCTCGGCTGCGCGAATCATGTCCGGGAGAGAGGGGAGGTCCGCGGGTAGCGAGGGGGGGGGAGAGCCACCGGGGTGCAAGTGGGGATGCGAGGAGGACCAAGGGATTGAGGGTGGGGGGTGTACTGCGGAGGAGTGGGGGTCCGATGGGGGGAGCGAGGGCGGTGGGCGGGAGGAGAACGGGGAAGGAAGCGAGAAAGGGAAGTGTGAGAAGGGGGACGGGAGGGAGGGCGCGTTGTGAAAGGGGTGAAGAGATGTGATGCCTCCACCACCATAGGAGAAGGACGAGGACGAGGAGGATGAAGAGGAGAGCGCGGAGCCTGGTGGGAGCTCCTCTCGAGTGACCTCGGAGTGGGATTCCACGACTTCAGATGGGCTGCGTGCCAAGGGGGTGTGTGCACACAAGAGAACGGGAGAGATGGAGAGATGATGGAGTAGCGCGGGGCTCGAGGGAGCGAGCGGTTAAAGAGCGAGGGGAGAACGAGGGGGACAGAAGAGAAGAGAGATACAAACAACAGGTCCGGGCGTTCTGCACGCGTGCGCGCATGGGTTCGTGCGTCGCACACGCGCGCCCAGGGCCCAGAGGCACGCGCGCAGCAAGTGCAGCTGCGAGGAAGCAGTGCTGCTGCGAGTGCGCAAGGCACGTGTAACGTCTGCGGACTCCCACAAAACGGCCGAAACGCACAGCTGCGACCTCTGAACTCTAACTCCCATTCCAACCATCGGCCCCGGGCGTTATAGCTGAGGAAGCCAGGAGAAGAACAAGCCGCGAAGCGCAATCTTGACAAACCTTGTCTAGGACCCCGCGCCATAACGCGCAGAGCACAGAGCAGCAGAGAAAGGGAATGGCACAGCGTGCAACAACAAACGCCGCCGTCCCGCTCAGCGAACTGACACCGTCGCGTTCTCATCGCATCGCATCCTCCCTCGCTCCGCCACCCGCGCGGTACTCACCCGCCGGCGCACTGGCGCAGCACCTCGCGCGTGCGCTCGCACTCCTTCACGGGGCGGCCGTCCTCGTCGTGCACCACGCGGCACTGCCGGCGCTCCACGCGCGAGTACCAGCACGACGCGTCTGAGTCCCCGCCGCCGCCGCCGCCGCCGCCGCCGCCGCCGCTGATGGTGGTGGACCTCGCGGCAATCTCACCGCCATCGCCCGCGCTGGTGCTCATCGTCGCGGCAGGCGGACGCGGGTCAGATGAACGGGTCGCTGAACCAACACGAACTTGTAAGATGCTCACTCAAGGCTGGAGGAACTGGGCGGTATGTTGAGCTGAGAAGGGAAAAGACGGGACAGCGTTGTGTGGGAATGGACAGGACGTGACTGATTTGTTCGTTTTGGAGGTGCATAGAATATGGAATGGCTGTGCGGTGGGTGCGTGTGCTGCAAGCAAGGGGAGAAGAGCACGGGGCTGGCAAACACTGGATGTTTTTTCGCTGAAGGCCGAAATGTTTGGTTGTGTAGGCATTCTGGTTACAAATTTCCAGCCTTCATCAAAGAAAAGCAAACATACAAATGGAGCTCAACCAGAAACGTAACGAGACACGCCCTGGCGAGGAAGTAGTATCTGGGATTAGGTTGAGAGGTAGGGGCTGTGTGTGTTGCACACGAAGAGGTTCGCTGTCATTCGCGAAACAGTTACGTACACACGATACTCGTTTGACTAGCTTGTAAGTGATTCTCGAAATTTCGCAAATTTCGTCGACGTCGCACCTAGCAAAATATGTCTAATAAAAACATTGTAACTCTCCGTTGACAGTTTGACTTCAGTCTCTTCTGTTTGACTTCTTCCTCTGTGGTTCGTATTGGCTCATAACCACTGCAACTTGCTCAAAGGGCTTATATTGTGGGGTGCAACTGGCTGGTAAAAAAAAACGCGGATGCAGACTTTCCGTCCAGTTCCGAGCAAATTCGCGCACAGGGGTTGAGCATCGTGTGTACTTGGCATCCGACATACAGTTCAATCAAATAACGAACTTGGTACAGCTTTTGTGCTCACCGTCATGAAGGGCTGCTGCTGCCAACCATCCCCCTCGTTTCCTGTGTGGTGGCATGACTCTGACTGAGACGACCCCGCGACCACCACCACACCGCCACACCGCCCTCCCCCTGTCCGCGCGCTCGTCGCCGCTCTCCCCCGTTCGCCGCAGCGCGCCACTCACACCCGTCATCCCGCACACTCCGCCACACGTCACCCCCTTCCATTCCCACCTCCCCGCCATGACCGACATGCCGCTGATCGGCTCCGCCGTCAAGTCTGCCGGCCGCCGGCACGCCACTCGCGCTTCGTCGTCGTCCGCGCACTCCCACCCTCCCGCGCTCGACCCCACCTCCCCGGACCACCCGCCCATCCCGCCCCCCTCCGCTGCCTCCTCCGCGCTCGCGTCGTGCGCGTCACTTCTCCGCTTCACTCTACCCGCCAGGCCCGCGTCTCTCCCCTCCACGCCCGCCGCCGCCAGCAGCGGCAGCAGCGCCACCCACGCGCACGGCGGCGCGCACGGCGGCGGCGGCGCGAACGGGTGGACGGTGTGCGGGTGGCGGGTGTCGCCGCGATTGGTGGCGTCTCTTGCGCTCCTGTCGCTCACGACGAAGCTCTGCGGCTTTCTGCTCCTCACCTACTTCCTCGCCTCCCGCCCCTCCCCACCGCACAGCACCGCCTCCGGGGCTGCTCCGGGTGCACCAGGTTCGGCAGTAGCCGCAGGCTCAGGGAACGGCGGTTCGGGTGCCAGCGCGGGCGAGGTTGTGCGACTAGGTTCGGAATTGGCGGTGCAGGCAGGAGCGTCTAGGGAATCGCGTGGGGTGGTGCGAGTGAACGCGCAGGGCGTGTGCTCGCCTGCCTGGCGGGAGCAAGTCAGGCAGCACTTTGGCGCAGGGGGGAGAGGGGAGGGGGAGGCGGCAGCGAGGGAGCGGGAGGGGCGTGGTGAGAGGGGTGGGGGTGGTGAGCGGGAAGGGGCGCGGTTGGGGAGAAGAGATGGGGCGGATGGCAGGAGGTTACTGGCGGATGGGAGGCGTGAGGAGGGGGGGGAGTGGAAAGGGGAGGAGGTGGGGAGGGTGGTGGAGGGGATGATGGGGCGGCTGTGTGACGAGGGCCTGCCGTTGGCAACTGCGCTGTTCGGTGTGAACCACTCCACACATGCCACCGTGCACCTGGTGAGCTGCACGCCAGCCCTGCACAAGCGAGCAGCATGCACTGCACTGCACCGCTTTGCACCGCACTGCACAGCACAGCAACTCTGCGTGGTTCTCGAAGCTCTCGTCCTCATCAATCACGTGTGCCGCAATCCATCTTCTCTTCTCCCTGAACCAGCCTCGCTCCCACCTCCTTTCCTTTCCACAGCCCTCTCCTCACCGCACCACATCACCCCTCACACCACCTACCCCTCATTCTTCCTCACCCACACCCCCTCCCCCACCCACCCCCAACAACCTGCAGGCATGCACGGATGCCACTGCCTCCTCCTTCCCCTCCTCCTCCCCACCACCCACCACCTTCCTGTACGCAGCAGCAGTGCCAGAGCAGCTCAGCAAGGCCAAAGCCCACCTGGTGGAGCTCGCCGCACTGGCACGGCGCTTCAACCGCACGCTCATAGTGCCGCGCGTGGGCCACAGCCGCGTGGACTTCACGCGCCGCTTGCCCTTCTGCGCCTACTTTGACGCGCCTGCGCTGCAGCGCTGCGGCGTGCACTGGGTCACGGAGGACTGGTTTGTGGAGTACGTGCGGAGGCGAGATGTTGCCGTGCGCCCCACATACCTCTGCCTTGTGTACGTGCCGTGCCCACTACTGCCTCCTCCCACCCACTCACTCTCGAATGGCCCTTGTATTGATTGATGGGTGGTACAAAGGAAGATGCAAACACAAGCAAACACAAACATAACACACGGTTTTTCTAACTAACCTTTTCCATACATCCTCCCGCCCCCTCCGTCCGACCCTAGTGGTCGAACGGGGGCTCAATCAGCTGGTAGAGCTGGCCCTCACTAAGGGGGGCAAAGGGGCCCCGCGTGCCGAGCTCGTCCGCTGCTAACGCCTCGTTGGTCTTGCAGCGGAGGGCGTTGGCTTGTGCTCTTTGGATGCACACGCTCCAGCGCTGGCGGTATTCCGTCAGCAGCTTGGCGGCCTCGTAGGAGGTGGGGGCAGCGTTGAATCTCAACTTGGCCGCCAGCTCTGCGCATTGCCGCAAGAACGCCAACACCCCGGGCGAGGGGTACCCATATGTCTCTACCGCCAGGGCATGAAAGCCCACCCACGCATTCCGGCGCGCGTATTTCTGCTCCTTGTCTGCAGCCGCCCTAGCCGCCCACCCCGGTGCCCTATTGCAGTGCTCATCTTGGTGAGATACGGGGTCCGTTACTGTCACGTTGCACATCCATACTTCTCCCATCAGGGGATGACGGATTGTGACGTCCGCCATAAGGTTTTCAACGAGAGAGTACACGTAAGTTTCCTTGTGCACCGTGAAGCCCGCCTCTGCTGCTATCAAAGCAATCTCATCCCTGAGTGCATGGTGAGTTGCAATCCTTCCCCCCCCTTTCTCGCAGCGCATGAGATGGTTTGGGAGGCGGTCGTCGGGGAACTTGGTGCGGTAGCGGCAGTCACAGCGCCTGGGGACAGGTAGGGGGAGGCCCAGGCAGAACGCAGCGGCGGAGGAGAGCTGGGAGGGTCCCATCCTGAGCGAGGGTTTGCGAGCTGACGAGGTGCGTAGGAGAATTCGCGGGAGGAAAGTCAGTAACCTCCACCCCGCGGACGAGTTGGGATTGGCTGCCAAGTGGAAGAGTGGGGTGAGTAGGCAGACTGCGAACGATTCGCGGAGGACTTTTGGCGGGTGACGGGCGAGTGGTGGCTGGCGACTGTCGCGCAGAGATCGAGGTCCCAGCCTGCGACCTGCGCGAAGAGGTCATCGCGTTTCGCCAGGTCGCCTGGGTGGATCATGGGTGGGGTTGGGGTTGGGGTTGCAGGATTCCCATTGGCTGCAGCAGAGTCAAATGTGATTGCTGCCACGGTTCGATTTCCCCTCCACGCTTGATTTCCCCCCGCATTCCGATTCCTGGCAGGCGTTCGAGTTGCAGACGCGGCTCCAAGTTGTTGGTCTGGAAACTCGGCCCCCCGAACCAGGAACTCCTCTTCTGCATCAGTTCCAGCATCCAAACCTCCCTCCGTTTCAGAGTTAAAACCAGGGTCACCCCCGTCACTCTCGTCATTCTCTGCATCACCGCTTCCTTCACTGCTTGCGGCTTCCTCGCCGCCTTCAACGCTCTCCCTTAATAATCTCTCAGCCGTCCTCGCATACGCGCTCGCGTTTGTACGTCGCCCGCCTCCCCTGCCTGTTCCGCCTCCTCGTCGTCCTCTCCTGCTTCCGCGCCGTCCGACAGGCGTGCCTCTCCCCGCGGTTGGGCTGCGCTTTGCCGGCGTGCGGTTTTCGCCGACTTCTTCCCCCGCCAAACGAGGCTCTGGCGTCCTCGGCTCACGCCTCGGTCGTGATGGCGGGGTCCGTGGGTCGCGACCGCGCCTTGGAGGCAACCGCGGAGAGCGCTCAGCCCGTTGCGCCGCCGAACCCAGAGCCTGCGCCTCAGCGTCCCCAAGTGCAAGCCCGTCCTGCTGCGTCGGCGCCCGTGCGCCGTCTCGAGCGCGGGTTGTCTCTTCCGCTGCGCGGGGGGGATCGTCACGCATCCCCCGAGCAATCCCGTGCTCCGTTACTTGTCGCGTCGAATGCCGAGCCGTCGCGCCAGGAGCGGGGTCGGTCCCCGCAGCGTCGAGGATCTCGTCCCGCGTCCCCTGCGTATCGCGCCCCTGAACCGCATGAGTCGCGGCGGAGGTGGGAGGAATATCAGCGGGAGCTTCGGGACCGCGACCGCCGCTACCGCTCTCCTCAGAGGTCGCCGGAAAAACACTCCCCGCGGCAGCGATCCCCCCATCAGTGGCCGCAGCGCCGTCGCCTCCGCGTCGGGGTCGCGGTGCTCACGCGGGCCGTTGGGAGTCTCGTCGCAGGGAGCCCTCCCAGCCCCGTCCTCAGTCGGCTGGCTCTGGCGGACGTCGTGGGTGGAGGAATGGTTTTGCGCGCAGCGGGGGTAGTCGCGGTCAAGGCACTGCGGCTGACCGCGCGGGGAATATGGTGGCGGAAGCAGTGCGAGAGGTGCAAGCGGCGGGGGCAGCGGCTCACGTTCATGTGTCTGTGAACACTGAGCCCCCCGCCAGTTCCATTGCGGGTGATGCGGCTCCGCTGCGCCCGCCGACATTGCGGGAGTATCTGCCAGCTGCAGCGGCGAGGGGGCCATTCCGCGGACGTCGCCTAGCTCCTGGCTTCCCGGCTCCTCACAATTCGTTGGGCTACGGTCCGGGCCAGATGGTGGCGTTTCCGCCGCGTGGAGTTCCGGCTGCACCTCTCCCCAGCCGCGCGGGGAGAGACCCCACGCTGAGTATGTGCCGGATGTGGAATTTGGCGGGGGCGGCTGAGGGGGTGGCGAGCCTGCAGCTGGCGGCGTGTGAGGCCATGCGTCACACACCGAGCAGTTTTGCTCAAGGGCCCCAAGGACAGTGCGTCGCCTGGGCAGGAGAGATTGTCCCCCTTTTATCGCCCGTGTCGGATGCGCCCGCCGGGGTAGCGCCCTTAGCCCGTACATTCCCCCGCCTCGCTCTTGATCTTCACGCCGCTGCTCAGCACGGGACCCCTGTTGACACTCTTCGCTTCTCGGCGGAGCTTCTTCACGCGATGGCGGGGTGCCTTCTCGCGATGCTTGAGGCGGAGGGGGCTGGCCTGTACACGCAGTAGATCGGCGTCTCGTGTAGTATTGCATCTTGGTTGTTTGATGATGCTCTCTGGTTACTTGACTGTCCTCTGTCGCATATGCCGAGCTTGGTAATCTTCTTGTTTGTGTGTCTTGCCACCCAAACGCGCGGCCGAAGGCCGCCGGCGCGAGCCGCCGAAAACTGAGAACACACGAAATAATGAGGAGAAGGCACCAAGGGCCCTTAAATAGGCTCAGAGGAAGAGGGCCGAGGGCAGAGGAAGAGGGCTGGGTGCTAAGGCCTTCTCTCTCTCGCTCTCTCCACCCTCCGAAAACTGAGAACCCACTCACTCTCTTTCTCTCTTCCTCTCTCCATCTCCTTCTCTCCCTATATTTCATCATTCGTGGTCCCTTTCCCTCAATTGTCTGTGCATGGTTCCATTCTTGGTTCCTCAATTACCTCGTTGCCTCTCTTCATGGTGGGGACCGGGCCCTCTCTGCCGTCCACTCGTGTGCCTCAATCCCCCTTCTTCCCCTGGTTATTTCCCCTCATTTTGCTTCACGGGAACTGCGTTGCGTCTCTGGTGCGAGCAAGTGTCACCTGTATGCACGCACCCCTTCGCCATCCCCATCCCTATCCCCATCTCCATCCCTATCCCCATCCCCATCCCTATCCCCATGCCCATCCCTATCCCCATGCCCATCCCTATCCCCATGCCCATCCCTATCACCATGCCCATCCCTATCCCCATGCCCATCCCTATCCCCATGCCCATCCCTATCCCCATGCCCATCCCTATCCCCATGCCCATCCCTATCCCCATGCCCATCCCTATCCCCATGCCCATCCCTATCCCCATGCCCATCCCTATCCCCATGCCCATCCCTATCCCCATGCCCATCCCTATCCCCATGCCCATCCCTATCCCCATGCCCATCCCTATCCCCATGCCCATCCCTATCCCCATGCCCATCCCTATCCCCATGCCCATCCCTATCCCCATGCCCATCCCTATCCCCATGCCCATCCCTATCCCCATGCCCATCCCTATCCCCATGCCCATCCCTATCCCCATGCCCATCCCTATCCCCATGCCCATCCCAAGCACTGCCCATTGGCATCCACGGCTTGCACCCTCCCATTTCCCCCAATCTTCCCTCTTCCCTCCCCTTGCCTCATCCCATCTCACCTTCCCTCCTCGTCCCCCACCGCTGCACCCCCCAGCCCCGGCGCCAACGACACATGCAGCAGCGCTCTGACCCCCTGGTCGCCGGCGTTCCTCTCAGTGCTCGCCATCGCCCACCACCCGCCCTCGCCCGCCAACGCCCTGCCCCTGCGCACCGCCTACCACACGCGCCGCGAGCGCTGGGGCGCGCAGATGGAGCGAGAGGAGGCTGCACTGCTGCGAGCCATGGCGCTCGCACGGAGGACAGCAGGGGAAGGGACGGGTGCGGAGGAGGGACAGGGGGAGCGCCAGGGGGAGAGGGTGTTGGTTGATGCGCCAGGGAGCTGGAGTGAGGGCGGGGAGGGGAGTAGTGCAGGTGGCACGGGTGGGGCAGGGGGCAGAGAGGAGGTGGATGTGGTGGTGGTGGCGCAGAGCTCGTGGTTCTTCACCCTCAGGGAGCACAGCCGAGCCAGCGCCGCTGCCTGCCTTGCGTTCGCCCCCGGCCTGCACCGCGCTGCTGAGAGGTTTGCACACAGGATGAGGAGAGGAGGTGTGGGGGAGGGGGAGGATGGGGCTGGTGCAGGGGGGAAGGTGGGAGCAGGAGCAAGAGGAGGAGGGGGGAGTGCAGCAGGAGCAGGGTCAATGGTGGCAGTGCTTGGTGATGGGGCAGACAGCAGACAGCGAGGGGTGCTGGGAAGTGACGCACAAGAGGGCATGGGGCAAGAGCGGGAGCGCGGTGCAGGGCGGTACGCAGCAGTACACCTGCGGCTGGAGTTCATAACATTCAAGGCGAGCAAGGCAGTGCGCACGGGCACAGCGCCTATAGAGTCCGTGCGGACCTGGCTCATGGCATGCGCTGCCAGCGCTGTCACCACCACCCGCCACCACCTCTCTAAACTCAACTCCTCCTCTGTCTTTCTCGCTGCTGACGTCTCCCCCACCTCTCCACCTTCCTCCTCTCTTTCTCCTCCATCCTTCTCACCCATGTCTGCTGCATCCCAGTCCCCCCACCCTCCTGTGCGGTTACAAAGCGACTCGTGGGCGCACGAGGGAGCAGCAGGCGAGCAGCTGCTGGGGTATGTATCCGAGGCGTACTGGCACGTGCGGAGGGAGTTGGGAGCGGTGGTGTGGGATGAAGAGGTGGAGGAGAAACAGCAGGCTGAAATGCGTGGGTTGGACAGGGGTGTAAGAGGGGTATTGGACAAGTTAGTGTGTGCGGAGGCAGATGTGTTTGTGGTGGGCGATGATGCGTGTGGGGGAATGCAGAGCTTTGACATGGATGTGTGTGCGCTCAGGAAGGGGCTGGGTAGAGCAGAGCGCAGTACGGTTCAGTTCAGCCGAGGCCGGATGCACTCACGATGATGATGGTGATAAAATAAAGAGCTGCTTGTATGAGCCCGTCCATGTAAGACCTGAAGCATGCAAAGCGCCCTGCCGATAGAAATTTACGGCTGCTAGGCAAGGATTGTTCTGAGTGCTAGGCAAGGATTGTTCTGAGTGCTAGGCAAGGATTGTTCTGAGTGCTAGGCAAGAATTGTTCTGAGTGCTAGGCAAGGATTGTTCTGAGTGTAGGGTGCGTGTGCAACAATCTGCTCTACTCCCTCTCCCCTTTCCTACAGCTGTTGGGGAGACTCGTGAGGGCCTGGTCTCTCTCATTCCGAAACTGGCACAGAACCTCCCACTGGCACTGCACTGCACTGCCATGCCTGCTGCACCACACAGCTCCTTCATGGTGGTGGTGCGACAGGGGCCACGTGTGCCCACCCCAAAGGCCATCTAGAATGCTCCAACGCGACAGCAGGGCAGTGCGCATCCGTGCGACTGCAGTGCAAGCCACACATGCCGCTACAGACCACACAGGAGCCAATGCCCCCTTGCACATCAGTGCCCCCTTGCACATCAGTGCCCCCTTGCACATCAGTGCCCCCTTGCACATCAGTGCCCCCTTGCACATCAGTGCCCCCTTGCACATCAGTGCCCCCTTGCACATCAGTGCCCCCTTGCACATCAGTGCCCCCTTGCACATCAGTGCCCCCTTGCACATCAGTGCCCCCTTGCACATCAGTGCCCCCTTGCACATCAGTGCCCCCTTGCACATCAGTGCCCCCTTGCACATCAGTGCCCCCTTGCACATCAGTGCCCCCTTGCACATCAGTGCCCCCTTGCACATCAGTGCCCCCTTGCACATCAGTGCCCCCTTGCACATCAGTGCCCCCTTGCACATCAGTGCCCCCTTGCACATCAGTGCCCCCTTGCACATCAGTGCCCCCTTGCACATCAGTGCCCCCTTGCACATCAGTGCCCCCTTGCACATCAGTGCCCCCTTGCACATCAGTGCCCCCTTGCACATCAGTGCCCCCTTGCACATCAGTGCCCCCTTGCACATCAGTGCCCCCTTGCACATCAGTGCCCCCTTGCACATCAGTGCCCCCTTGCACATCAGTGCCCCCTTGCACATCAGTGCCCCCTTGCCAGGGCTCTCGTTATCAGACCAAATTGGTCTGATGGTCTGATTTTCAGACGTAGATTTTCACTTTCATCTGATCTCTAAGACGATGCTTTTTATTTCGTCTGATCCGTAAGATGACTGATTTTAGTTCATCTGATATTTCAGAGCAAGCTCTATAGTTAGTCTGAAATTTCAGAGAACGAGTTGTTTTTCGTCTGATACCGATCCCCCTCCCCCCAACCCTCCCTTTCCCCCCCGATCTCTCGCTACTCTACCAGCTCAGCCCCCCCTTCTACGGTATGCCCTCGCTCCTCTTCCAGGCCTAGTCCTGTCCAACCCTTCTCCCCCTTTCCCCAACCTGAGGTCTCTCCAGGTCTCGCTCCCAGCCTAGCCCGCTTTCATGCCCCTCCTAATGTCTCGCAGCCCAGCCCCCCCTTCCCTTCGCGTCCCTCCACCTCCACCCACCCTGATCCCTCGCGTCGCAGCCCCTCATTATCATGTGCGTGCCCCTCAATAGCGTCACAGCTGTCTGTCAGCTAGCGAGCTGTCAGCACCGCGCCAGGGGCGCGTTCATTAAAGCCCGAGGTCAGCATGGTAATATTTCAAGTTATGTGGGGTTGAAACAGTTAGGCGAAAACCTGAAAATCGTGAATTTCGAAAATGTGTGTGGGGCGAAACCGAATTCAGGAGGCGGGAAAAACAGTCTTCGCCACGATACTATGCGACAGCTGTCCCCGAGGATATGGGAGGGCCGAACGACCCAGTGTGCGACAGAGCACTGCTCCGCCCCAGCACTGGTGGGGCACACTGCGCCTCTCTTGGGGTTGAAATGGTGGGGATTGAGAAAGCTTGCTTTCTTTCTTATCAATTGGCATCGTTCTCATTACAAATGGCGTGTTACAACATTTGCATCATCGTTCGACATAAGCTAGTGCGGACTAATAACACTAGCTATTATGTACCCTATCCAAGTGGCATTAGCAAGGCGGTTTACACTGGGGTGGGTGGTGGGAATGTTGAGTGAGCCGTTTGAAAATTGAGAAACGTGGGTGGAGGGAAATGAGCTCCAACCCACGGTTTTTGTAGTTGGAGAAGGGCGTTTAGCGCGCTTCGACGGTGCCAATTGTGCAGTACAAGCAGCTTCGCTTTCACAATACACAATTTTAAAAAACACTACATGTGTGTTTAAAAATTATAATAACGCGAAACTCACGCGAGTAAGAGTGAGGCAGTACACTGAACAATATTTCCTGTGATTACTAATCGACTAAAATATTTGGATAAGTTTGAGACTTCCAGGCCCTCAGATTCGTTTTTGGCCTGTCTGATTCGTCAGACTAGTACACAATTTTAGTCTGAAAATCTCAGAGTTGGTATAAAAAATGGCTGAAATTTCAGAGTGTCCTAAAAAAAAAGTCTGATCATTCAAAAACAATGTATTCAATGTTTCATCGGAATGTAATCAATGTTTCATTCATCTGCTACCGAAACACACAACACTAAGGGGATTTCCGATAAAACATGCTCTGACAGGGCGAATATATGTGTCAGGGCGAATCTTGTGGTGCGAAAGAGCGAATCTGCAATGTCAGGGCGAGTTTTCTGTGATTGGTCGAAAAGTGTTGTGCTCTGACAGCGCAAATCTGTTGTGTCAGGGCGATTTTGCTATGATTGGGCGAAAATCTTGTGCTGTAAGGCTCGGATTTGCTGTGTCAAGGCGATTTTGCGTCGACATTGCGAATCTGTTGTGACCCGTAAGTCCAAATCACCAGTCAAGGACGCGTTTGTACTCTGAATGATAAGAGTACACTCTCAGAAAACTCTGAACTCTCAGAGTTAGCCTTAAAAAAAGTCTGAAAATTACAGAGTTTGGGCCCAAAAAAGTCTGATTTTAACAGAGTACACTGGAAAAAAAGTCTGAAATATCAGAGTTTTTTGTGCAAATCAGAGAAAAAAGTCTGACTTCGTAGGGCCTGGAGACTTCACTTCAGAATAACATAAAAAATTCAAGTGCTGAATTGGTATAGAAAAGCAAATTGTGAATCATGAAAATTACATATCAAGAAACACATTAGCAATACATATCCAAGCGTACTCTCTCAAGCTCAGATCCCGCAACTCATAAGGGTCTCGGCCGGCCACATAGGAACATGTCGTGCCTTTCCCTGCACCAATCTGCACTCCCCCGGCCCACCGCAGCGCAGACCAGCCTTGCCCCACCGCACATGCCCTGACGTGCGCTGCCACCAGCATCCTGCTGCACATCCTGCTGACACTGCCAATCTCCATATTTTTGCCACGGCCCCTGCCTGCCTTCACCCTGTGCTTGCCATTTTGCCTCCCTCCCACGCCACTCCGCACTGACCATGCCGCACAACATACTCCCTTACCCTTGCCCCATGATCCACCAGTTCGAATCCTTGCATGCACAGTGCTGGCTGCTAGGCAAAGTGCCCAATCCCTCCGTACATGCAGGGGCGGGGAACAGAGAGGGCACGGCCTCATAGGGCGCAGATCAGCAGAGGGTATGGGCCAGCAGGGGAGGCACATATAGAAAAAGACGTGGTTTGGGAGAGTTGGGATGGAAGGCGTGGACAGCAAGCGGCAGGCACAAGGCAGCACGTGCACCTTCCGGGCACACATGCGCGCGGATGAGAAGGGAAGGTGGTAAGGTGGGCAGGCGGTAAGGTCGGCAGGCGGTAAGGTGTGCGAGGGTGAAGGAATAAGAACAGAGGGTGGGGAGACACAGGGAAAAGGGACAAGGAAACGGGTAACACGGAGACAGGGAAGGGGATGGGGGGAAGAAGGGAACGGGATGGGGGGAAGCAGGGAAGGGGATGGGGGGAAGCAGGGAAGGGGATGGGGAGAAGCAGGGAAGGGGATGGGGGGAAGCAGGGAAGGGGATGGGGGGGAGCAGGGCAGAGGGTAGGGGGAAGCAGGGAAGGGGATGGGGGGAAGCAGGGAAGCGGATGGGGAGAAGCAGGGAAGGGGATGGGGGGAAGCAGGGAAGGGGATGGGGGGAAGCAGGGAAGGGGATGGGGGGAAGCAGGGAAGGGGATGGGGGGAAGCAGGGAAGGGGATGGGGGGAAGCAGGGAAGGGGATGGGGGGAAGCAGGGAAGGGGATGGGGGAAGCAGGGAAGGGGATGGGAAGAAGCAGGGCAGGGGGTGGGGAGAAGCAGGGAATGGGATGAGGGGAAGCAGGGCAGAGGGTGGGGGGGAGCAGGGCAGAGGGTGGGGGGAAGCAGGGAACGGGATGGGGGGAGCAGGGCAGAGGGTGGGGGGAAGCAGGGAAGGGGATGGGGGGGAGCAGGGCAGAGGGTGGAAGGAATCAGGGCAAAGGGGGAAGCAGGGCTAGTGGGAGAACGGGTGGTTGGGAAAAACAGAGACAGGGGGCAACAATTTGGGGGAAGTGAGGGCGATGAGGGGAAGCGCGTGGGGGAAAAGAACATCTGCATACCCTTCTCTCCTATCCCCTCTGTGTCTCTCATTCAGTCCCTTCCCCTCAGGAGGAAGAAGGGTGGAAGAAAGGGTGAGAGAGAGGTTCGAAGAAAGAACGATAGAGAGAGGAAGAGGGAGGGAGGGAGAGATGGAAGGGAGGAAGAGGAGAAGAGCGTATGACAAGCGGAATAGAATGTGGGGAGGAAGGCGGGTGGTATGTGGGGGAGATGGAGGCGGGTATGTGGGGAGGCGAGGGCGACGGGCAGAAGCGAGGGCGTTATGGCGACGAGGAAAACGAAGATGTTGAGGAGGAGAGCGAGAGATGAGAAGAAGCGCGGGTGACGGGGAAGCAAGGGTGACGACGGGAAGCGCGGGTGACGGGAGAGCAAGGGCGACGACGGGAAGCACGGGTGACAGGGAAGCAAGGGCGACGACGGGAAGCACGGGTGACGGGGAAGCAAGGGCGACGACGGGAAGCGCGGGCGACAAGCAGAGGCGACGGCGGCGAGGGTCGGCGAGGGAGATGAGGGAAATTGCGGGCGACGAGGAAAGCGGTATGACGTGGGAAAGAGCGGCCGACGAGGGGGAACATATAAGACTAACGGCAGCGCGCGTCTGGGGACCCTATACGGCATTCGCGTGAGCGACCCGTGCCTAAAACGGTACGATCGGGACGCGAGGCTGAACCACAGCAAGTGTGAAAAGAGCATCTTGTGCGACGCGAGCTTGAAATCAAGGCGCGAGAAACGCGACGATTGTTCACTAACGTAAGTGCTGCGGGTGAACGGGTTGTAACACGAGACCGGCGGCGTGAGGGGGAAATCGGAGCGTGCACTGACTAAGATGGTTGAGGTGGATACCTTTTGCCAAAAAAAAAGCCTAACAACGACTCGCTTTTGCCAACTAGCGCTAGTTTTTGTCTTGGAGCCTCCTAGTCTATGACTACGACTTGGTAAGCAAGTTATGTGAGTGGTGAACAGTGCATATGGTTGGCGATCATCGCGTCAGTTTCTGTTTTTGGGCACTCGGGTTCCGTTGTCGCAGAACGATTGCCTGGGGTTGCCAGAGTTTCTTCAAAACAAATAGGGTAACCCTGTTTTTTGCGATTTTAAGTTCAAGAATCTTGAACTTGAAAATTACCATGCTGTACCCGGGCTTTAACAAAACAAGCGAGATTATGTTAGACAAGTGTGGTGTTGGGAATATAAACGCATGACTTAGTGCGTTTCTGTAGTATCGAACCTCACCCGATATTGAAGCACAACAAAAGGGGTACGAAGTCGAAAGGGCGCGTACCACATCAAACCGCAACTGGAGGTTGCGAGTTGTAACCGCCTGGAGGTTACGTAACAGCAAGCGACGCTTCAGTGAACAGTAACCGCCTCGATAGTCGAAGCGTTACACGTCTCGATAAACACAACCGCTTCCTGCAATCTATCTTTCCTATATATTCCTGTATGCTCTTTGCTTTAATCAATTACTTGTTCTCACACACCAGCACAAGTACATTCACTCAAGTCTTCCGCTGTGCTACTCTAGCACCTACTAGCCTATTCTCTGCAAAGATCCTAAGGCTGAAATTCTCAGCCCAGCATGGTATGAGAGCAGTCAGAGAACAAGGCTCTCGTCACTTAGCCTCTCTCAGGCTACCAATCTGCAAGCAAACAAGAAGTTCAACCTTTATTCAAGAAAGGCAAGACATGGCAAGTGGCAAAGAAAGAAGGTCATCTACGGGATCTACTCTACCCCCGGTCTCCGAGCTGCAGACCGAAGGAGGAACAACGCCCGGATTAACGCCGGAAGCGACGGAACGATCTACTCAGGCGCCAGTAGCGCCGCCAACAAGCTTCGACCCAAGCTTAATGGAGCAATTCTTCAACTTCATGTCGCAGCAGCAGTCCTCACAACCTGCAAACAGCAACAGCGTAAACAACGGAGCGACACCAATGAGTATTGACAACTCATCGTTCGGACGACATAATCAACAAACACCAAACTTAGTCTCACCTGGTTCCTTCACGTTTATGCCGCCTCGCCATCCAGCGGCTCCTCTTCCCGCCATCAAACGAGACGCCGAAGAAGTCCTGCAAGTACAAGCACAGTTCAACAACATCCTGCGACTGCACACATCCACACCATTCAACGGGAAAGACTTCTATTCTTGGAGTTTCGAGTTTGAACTCCTGATGGAAGGCGCGAATCTTCTTGGGTTCTTCAACGCTACCTGGCCATATCCACACAACGGCGAAGACAAAGGCAAGGAAAATTATACTTATCACTCTCTGATGGCCTACACCGTACTTCTTCGAAATTTGTCGCCGAACGAGCAGCAAAGCATCCGCGTCTACCGGAACTACGCAAACTCCGCGGAACTCGCTTATCAGCATCTGCGAAGCATTCATCAAGCATCCGACAGCGTTACACAAAGCAGACTCATGGCACAACTGACAACAGTTCAAATGCAACCTGGAGAAAAGGCCATGCCTTACATCAGTCGTTGTCAAGGACTACGCGACAGACTCATTCGCTGCGGAGGAAACTTATCTGAAGAAGCGTTTGTAACCGTCGTTCTCGCCGGCCTTGGACCTCAATGGCGCACCACCCGTTCACTTCTTCGCGCTCACGGTCGACTCTCCGAGATGCATCTTGCGGAGATAACTACTACAACGGGAGCTTAGAGTACTGGCTAGGCACGTGTGCTCGTGTGATGTCTGCGTTCGTTGGTCCTTAGACGTTTTCCTAGTGCTCACACTGCTTGCTAGTTCACGGGGCAATTTGGCAAGAGTTTCACTAGAGAAAGTTGTCAATAATGGTACAATAAAGTTGGCAATGCAAGACTACATCAGAGCTAGCATTCAGGTTGGTCGACTGCCAGCACAGCATGGTCGACCGCGTTCCAGCACGACTTGGTCGACCACGCTACAGCAGTGCAAAGTCGACAGCTTGCCAACGCTGCAGGTTGACGGTGTGCCAGCATTGCTCACGCAGGACAGCAGTGCACCCGCTTTGCAGGTGCGCGCAGATGATTGGCATGCAAAGTCTCGTCACCTGCACAGCGCACACACCACGTCAACCTCGGGCTAGCGACTGCCTCTGATCCTCCACAACGACCTCGGGATACCACCATGGAGGTCGGTCTCGCCAACTTCGCCTGGGTGACCGTCGCACTCCTTCGCAGAACCTCGTCACCCAGGTATCCTGGTCGACCGGGCAACTATGTCGACCAGCTGCTCCTGTATGTGCTCGTCAACCTCCCAAGTCGACAACCACACCAGGTCGACCTCACCAGGTCGACCACTCCTCCGGTCGACCAGATCCAGGTCGACGTCACTTCTACGTCGGCGCCGACTTCCAGACTGACCTCTTGAAGTTGGCGACCTCCCAAGTCGGCGACCTTGCAAGTCGGTGACCTTGCAAGTCGGTGACCTTGCAAGTCGGTGACCTTGCAAGTCGGTGACCTTGCAAGTCGGTGACCTTGCAAGTCGGTGACCTTGCAAGTCGGCGCCGACTTCCAGGTCGACGTGCCACATCGCCGACCACCAGTTGAAGTCCGCCGCTGGCTTCCCAAGTCGGCGGTATTGCAGTGGCGCCGTGCAAGTCGACCAACCCCGTCGACCAGCTCGTCCAAGTCGGCGTCGCCCACTGCTGCAAGTCGGCTGTACCTTCCGTACACCCCACCACGAAGTCGGCTCCGCCCAAGCGTGGACGGGGCCAACACACAACTCCCGTTGACACTCCCCTGCCGCGTTCACGCTTGGCCCCCCCCAAGTCCACTCGGCAGTACTCCTCGGAGAATAGCTCGTCGACGTGCACCCAACACACAGCACGTCGTCCACCGCACCAGCCATGCAAGAGGGCATGGCACCTACTGCTGCACGTTGTCATCTTCGTCGCCCACGTCGGCCAAGCGCAACTGGCCGATGGCGACGGAGCACCGGTTGAAGGCCGGATAGTGCAGCGCCTTCGTCAGGAAGTCGGCCGGCTGCTCAGTGGTCGGGATGTACCTCAGCGAGAACTTTCCGCGCTTCACCATGTGCTGCAGCCAGGCCTGTCGCCGCTCCATGTGCTTGAGGTTGCCCGTCAACCCCATGCCCTCGACGACTGTGATGGCCGACTTGTTGTCCACCCGAAGGACGGTCGGCTTCCCGGCATCTAGCTGTCGGAACTCTGCAAGGAGGAAGCGAAGTCGACGTCCTTCCTTGCCGGCTTCGGTGGCTGCCACGTACTCCGACTCAGTCGATGACAACGTCGCACACTTGATGCGCTGGCTCGACCAGGAGACTGCGGCCCCTCCATAGACGAACACGTAGCCACCCGTGCTCGTCCTGTTCTGCTTGTCACCGGCGTCGTCGGCGTCCACGTAGCCGACCAGCTCCAGCGACTCAGGTCCACCGCCGAACTCCAGTGCGGTGTCGCGCGTATTGGCGAGGTAGGCGAGGCAGCGGTCGACCTCGCGCCAGTGCTGGTCGCTCCTCACCGTGAGGCCGCTCCCCAGCTTGCTGCAGGCGAAGGCGATGTCCGGCCTCGTCGTCGTCGCCGCAAACTGCAGCGAGCCGACCTTCTGCCGGTACTCCTCTTCCTGCCGTTCCTGTGCCTCCTCGTCATCGAACGTGAGCTCGGCGTAGGCATCGACCGAGACCGGCGTCTTCGGGGTGCGCCCGGTCTGCTCCTCGTCGATGAAGCGCCTACGAAGCTTGTCGGTGTAGCCCTGCTGGTGCAGCCACAGCTTCCCCGCCGACACATGGTTCTTGGACAGCTGTTGTGGTCACCATATGTGTTCTTCATGTCAAATTTTAATATTGTGCCGCATGCGCGCCGCCTGCGTTGGGGGTATGGGGGTGGCAGGTATGGGGGTGGCGGGTGTGGGGGCCCTTGCTCTGGCAGCCCAGCGGGCCTGCTGCGCCAGTCGCCCGTGGGTCCGTTGCTCCTGCCGCTCGTCTTAGTCGCAGAGCCAGTTACTCCTGTAGTCTAGGGCCCTTGCTCGGTAGCCACCGTGCGCGCCGCCTCTGCTGCCCGTGTGTCTGCGGCTTCACCCGTCGCCTCCTATCTCCACTCCTCTCACAGTCCCTCCTCCTCCTCGCTTGCCCTCTATGACTGCCTCTAGCTTTGCTTGTGCTTGTGAACTTCTTATGCGACTACCTGTTGTGCTGATCATATCCCACTTTGCCTATGGGGGTGTGTCAGAATGCTATAATTGTCTAGTCTGCAGTGGGGTACTCTATAGTGAGTACAACCCAAATTGGGGTTTGCTATATGTATCCTATTGTCATAACATTATAGCTTATGCTTTTGTGTAGGCTGTAGTGGGGTAGCCCATATGGGGTACAACCCAATTAGGGTTAGTACTTGTACCCAACTGTTTCATAGTTCATTCATTCTCGTTCTCATTTTCTCATGATATCGAGCAGGTTCCCCTGTGGGAACTGTGCCTAGGGCCCACCAAATTTCGACTTTTTTTTCCTACCCGAAGCGCGCTCCGCCCGAGTCGCGCTCTCACCTCGTCGAGCCGCCCTAGCGGCCCTCCCTACCTTAGCGGCCCCGTCGCCCGTTCGTGCGGCCCCGCCACCTACTAGCGTGGCCCCGCCACCCGCATTCGCGGCCCCGCCGCCCTACGTCGCGACCCCGCCGCCCTAAC